TTCCAGATATGCAAAGTTATCAAAACATGATTCCAAATATGCAAAGTTACCAAAACATGATTCCAAGTGGAATGAGTGGTTATTAYCCGAGCCAAATGCCTCAATCGATGAATCCTAGTGGTTACTTTGGTTCAATTCCAGGAAGTCCTAGCGGCGCTGCGGGCAGTGCAGGGTCTGCATCCGAACCAGAAGYTTCGATAGCTGCTAAAGAAGGAAATCCTACATCATCCGGGGGCTCATCAGCTGGAAGTTACGTTCCAGATATGCAAAGTTATCAAAACATGATTCCAAATATGCAAAGTTACCAAAACATGATTCCAAGTGGAATGAGTGGTTATTACCCAAGCCAAATGCCTCAATCGATGAATCCTAGTGGCTACTTTGGTTCAAAACCSACTGGTTCATAGAGTAAATGGTGCAAGTCAAAGATAATAAGCTGGCTCACCTAAGTTTAAGAACATATTTAATTTACTGAAACATATGTACCAACGARTAATACATAGGTTAGGTATATTATATACAAATTAAATTACATATATGTTTATATTCTCTTAATCTATTTATAAATTTAAAGATGTCTTAATTCATTGTTTTTTACTGTAAATCATTTATAGTTTTTTTTGACATAATGTAAGTTCTGGAAATAAATCAAATTTTATACTTAAAAATTAATATAATACTATATTAATAATTAATWATGGGTTTAACTTAAAATTTATACTTGGATATTATRGCTATAGCTATTCCAATTATATGCAATCAGATGGGTGGTTAGGATAATATCAAATATTACATTCCTATATCTATAAATATTATAGGCAATAACACATAAAACAAATGACCAAATTTAAAGAATAACGATGTTTGATGACATATTTAATAAAATCTAATTACCAAAATAAAAAGATTGTTGAGCATAACATTGTATAGTTTCCAAATGATAATATATGTTATCACATATATCTATCTTATATAATATATAGCTTATATAAATAAGCACGATATAATGCTTATTTTTATTAGAATTTAGAATTAGTACCTAGAAATGTGATCAACCATTGTCTTTCTAAAAATGTTGTTTTTAATTTCACATTCATTTTACTGAAATATTCAAATATATACGCACAGATTTGTAAAAAAATAATATGTACAYGGAGATACTATTCTGATTTAYAGTAGACGTCCAGTGTTTCAATTTAATGAGTGTTAAATTTWAATTAAATTATATAAATTGATTTCATACGAATATCAACTCYGTACAAACATTATCTGTCAGCATATATTATTATAAAATACATTTTATGAAATTTTTGCTATTAAAGTAATATTGTTAATATTAGTATAAAGGTATAGGCTGAATTCGTTTTTTCTGAAAACATTGGATTTGCATTTGAAAATAGTGTGTATAAAATATATAAATATACTTAAAAAGTTTAAAGTACACACGAATATTATTTTTAACATACATTAAATMAAATAAAATCGTTATTTTTTGTTAAAATACCAASGAATTGAACATAAAATATTTATGTAAAAAACAATGTACTTGTTGTATTGGTACCAGTTTAGACTAAATACAAGTGTCCGTGTATTCAATTTTTAAGTTGTAGTAATATACAAGTTGGAAATTTTATAAATTAAAAAAAAAATTGARTATATGTACGAGTACGTGGTTTTGAAAAAATTTGTCGAAATTTGAACTTCAACCGCGTATAATCAAACTATAACTTCTATGAATATACTATAATATTTTCCAACTGATTTAGTATCCAATTARGAGGAATAATTTAATTATGCTTTAGATTTGTGTGATTTTTAACTGAGTGAACATTTTTTTTTCATAGAGATTCTTTAAATAAAAACTAAAAAATAATGGACATTGAATATGTCCATGAAAAATCGTTATTTTATGCGTGAATCTTCAAATGCGTGAAGATTTGATCTCCAAACTATYATAAAAATATATATGAATTTTCGTTAAAAGAAGAAAATATTTTTCGGAATCTTGTAATACATTCTTAAATCTTAAATATAGAAACAACTGTATATGTATAAATAAAATACAAATTAAATTGTTAGTATCTTCAATAATTCGCTTTTAAGTTACACTAAAAAAAAGATTTTTTTAAAARTACTGTTAACTTTCAATTATGAAACCCAAAATTATCAATTATAGTAAAACGTTTTTTGAGTGAGGCATTAATCTCCTCCTCCAAGACTTAATTTTAAATAATTNTTTTTTTCATAGAGATTCTTTAAATAAAAACTAAAAAATAATGGACATTGAATATGTCCATGAAAAATCGTTATTTTATGCGTGAATCTTCAAATGCGTGAAGATTTGATCTCCAAACTATYATAAAAATATATATGAATTTTCGTTAAAAGAAGAAAATATTTTTCGGAATCTTGTAATACATTCTTAAATCTTAAATATAGAAACAACTGTATATGTATAAATAAAATACAAATTAAATTGTTAGTATCTTCAATAATTCGCTTTTAAGTTACACTAAAAAAAAGATTTTTTTAAAARTACTGTTAACTTTCAATTATGAAACCCAAAATTATCAATTATAGTAAAACGTTTTTTGAGTGAGGCATTAATCTCCTCCTCCAAGACTTAATTTTAAATAATTWWAAAAAATAAAATTATTAGGTATATCCCTGCCTATAAAAATCGAAACTTAGCTTACATATAAAATATATTTATTGTCCAAGAGCTTGGAATAAGTATAAACTTTTATCATTTGAAAAAACAAGATTGTATTTTATAACCTATACTTTTAATTTTTAAGCTTTGTACGATTTAAATCGATCCATATACAATATTGATGTTTATTATTATTATACTCATATGTGTGTGAATTTGGTAATGATGTATTAGATAATCTTAATAATATGTAAATAAATATGTATGCGTATAACGACATGATAATTCTTTATTTTTAATAAATAGTAGTATCGAAGTATATTATATTATTATCGTTCGAGTTATAGTTGCCAGGCCAGCTATATTCTAACTCTAATCATTACCTAAAAAAAATTTCACCGCACTTATAAGGGTTCATGTGATATTTTAACTGTTAACTGATTGACCTATTTTGTGTTATGGCAAAATATATTGCACTAGGTATTGCGTTAAAATATGATATAGAACATAATATTGTACAGCAAAAGGAAAAACCCCTATAAATGTGTTCAAATTTTAATCAATAATATTAAACGAAAACGTTCAAACAATAAGCT